CTTTGCTAGACCCTTGAATGTTGGTAGGTGATTCAGGAAATGGTCTAAGTCCTTCTTTGCTAGACCCTTGAATGTTGGTAGGTGATTCAGGAAATGGTCTAAGTCCTTCTTTGCTAGACCCTTGAATTTTGGTAGGTGATTTGCTTCACTTTCTTCATGAGAAACCATGATTGTGGTCAGAATCTGTCCCTTACAACTTGAGGGCAATCACCTGACCAAGATATCCGTGACATTGTGTGCAAACCATTGTAGGTACTCTCAGATCTCCAAATATCATTTGAGTGTTTGATTCCTGGTTCAGGGCAGCAGAGCAATTAATTGCTACTGGTTGCTCATCCGTTAGTCCGTTACACATCAGGCTCCTCTGTATACCTCCCAGAGAAAACTATTACTATTATTAATACTACTACTAGTGCAATAGTAATAGAGAACATAGTTTGGCTTGTCGACTGCAATTCTAAAGTAATTAAATACAGAATAGGCCTAAGTGGACTTTTGACAAGAAGAGAACTACATATATATTATAGTGTTTATGATATGTCTATAAATTATAATCTCTATAGTGTGAATAATTTGTTGTACATATGTTTAACTTGTTCCGAATATATATATATATTATTTTGAAAACAAGTGAAGTACATGCTGTTTATTTATCGTTGAATTTATCACTAACAAGTCACAGACACCCACTGTAAAAGAATCCTAATCCCAACAACAACATAATATATATTTACACTATTAAGAAATATAAGTAAAAACCTTTTATTTTGACAATTGGCAAAAAAGAAGAATATATATCTTAAATTCTGACAATCTGTTTACATTGATTGTCATGAAAATAATCAACTAATCAAAATTAGTCATTTTTAACTGCTGAGTATAAGAAAGGCAACTGCCTAGCAGCACCTGCCACCAATATTTTTTGACTTGTGTATACCACAGGGTGAGGAATTTTGTACTAATATTGATCAAATGTAATCAACTGATGGGGCCATTAATTAATTGATCATCAACTTCCAGTAATTGCCTAGCTCTGTGTCACAACAAACCCAAAGGAATCTTAAGCAATACCTTCATCTGCAAAATGAGGGCTATGGTTAAGCAAGAGAATCTTTGATTCAAAAAGCTACTCGCATCTCATAAATTTCAACTTAATGAAGTTTCAAAAACCAAATATTCACAAACTTCCAGCCACACGTCAAAATCAATGCCTGTTCTCAAAAGAAAGATGGTTGAAGAAACTAATGCAACTCAAATGGATTTTTCTGCATTTTATCTGTTTAAATGTCATATTAGAAACTGAAATTCATATACAGTGGAAACTTCATCAAGATATGTGGTTTAAGTTTAAACTTGATATCTTTCACAAGAGCTTGTTTCAATGGAAATTGCTATGTTGGACAATGGTATATAATCATGGATATCAGAATAAGTAATATGTTAAAAGAGGAAGCTGTTCTTAGGGTATCAGGGATCTGCAGAAACGTTCTTGTGAAATGTAATTAATCTTCACTATATATACATGTTTAAACCTATAGGCCTTCCTAGATATTCCAATAACAATAAACATATCCTCTTGAATTAGCATGAGTGGGATAAAATTATGCACTATATAGAAACATTAAGTTTTCATTTATGGTTGGATGAGATTCCATACTTCTAAAACTTCTTAAAGGAGAAATTGTAGTTTGAAATATCTCTTCGGCAATAATTGGTCTATTGTAAAAATGATGCTACATACCAGTTGATAAAAATATGTAGCTTTATGTAGAACTTACCAATGAAAAAACACATTACAAATTTTATTATCAGTTTTCTGATAATAAAAATATACATGCTAGTTTGTTTTGTAATTTGTAAATACTCGGAACAGCTCAGTTTATTTTATATGAATAGCACTTTGAAAATTTCTTTAAACAAATCTTACTCTGCTTTTTAAAGTTTTTACAATGAAATGCATACAAAACGATAACATTATATATATTCAGGTTAATCAACACTGTAAAAGTCAAACATAATTGAATCATTTATCAAATACACATATTTCAAACAGTAGATTAGATGATGCTTGGAGAGATTGGACTTTTTGGTCAGAGTAAATGAATATTACTTTACAATCTGCTTCCATTTTTCGCAGATATTGAGAGTAACATCACATCCACCACAGACAATGACTACAACTGGGCCATCACCTTTAATATCCTCGTTTTGAATCAAGTGGCTGAGGGTCTCACTGTACAGAGCAGCAAGAGTAGCACCACAAGCAGGTTGAACAAGCATTCGGTGATCATCTACAAAAAAATATGGTTTCACATGTCAAAAAAAATATTTAAATTATGATACCAATGTGAACAATTTATGTTTTGATTATAAATGACAAATTTGCAAAACTAAATACTTTCTTAATAAGTTTAAGCAAATGTACAGAAAACATACTCTCCAAGCCAGTTCAATAAATTCACTGTGTTTGTTTTGTTTATGTGAGTGTTTTCCAAACTTTAAATAGCAGCACCCCTAACTCAGCACAGTTTCCATTGTGCCCCCATCACGCTAAAATCATTCTTGCAAGTGATAGCAGTGAAATCAACATTTTCTTTAGCTGTTTTTAATACTCTTTTTAAAATGAAAAAAATTCTTGAAAGGAGTGAGTAAATGTGAGATAAAAAAACTTTGATAGCAAAGTGTTAGTTCTGTTAGGTTATCGTCATTTCCAACTCTTCAGTTTCTTCCATTGTTATTTTTGGGCTCTTCTGCCAAAAGACTGTGCTCCCCTAGGGGGCACACCCCACAGTTGGGACAACACTGGTTTAAGCACAAAGCTGTATGATGGGCTGTCTCTGCCATGGCCATTGCAGGTATCGAACCCCCTGAATTTTAGAATTATAAGTTTTGAATCTTCTGGCTGAGCCACTGGAAGCATATTTACAAGGAAAACTTCATATATATAATAAATGTTTCATGGTGATACTTTCTGAAAACTGAAGATAATTAAGCACTTTTTACTCTTTTGGTATTTTCTTTCTTGGTCGCCCCCCAGTGCCACAGCGGTATGCCTGCAAACTTACAATGCTAGAATCCGGGTGTCAATACCCGTGGTGGGCAGAGCACAGATAGCCCATTGTGTAGCTTTGTGCTTAATTACAAACAAACAAACAATCTTTCTTGGTCTCTTATATTGTTCATATAATAAATATTCTTATCAAAAATAGTTGAAAAAACAAAAACTAATACTGTGAGAAATAAAATAATACCTGCAAATTTTAAACACGCAAGTACAGCTTCACGATCTTCCACTACTTCAGAAAAGATGGGACGTGTTGGGAGATAATCCATCAGTTGTTGGCTTACAACCACAGAACCCAAACATTTTGCAATGCTACAATAATCAAATCAAACGAAACAACATTTACTATTGAATAAAAGGAAATACTATGATTTGTAATTATATACAACCAGATAACAGCATTGATAAATAACAATTTCTACTTTCTCTTTCCTTATAGAGATATGTCTTTTAATAAAATATTTCATAGCACATTACATTGCCATACAATACTTGACACTTGGCAAACAGTTAAGTAAGTCAACTGCCTCATTAACAAACATTTAAGAGCTCTATCTACAGTTTGATTTCAGTGAAACTCAACAAAAAGAGATTGACTCAGTTGTTTGATTTTGAAATAAAGCTTACAATTTGTTGATAATGTAAAGACAACTAGTACAATCTGTGCCCTTCTTCAAGCTGGCCAGCATCTGTGTGTGTATATCATAGCAACAGCAACAGGACTGAACTGAGGTCACAACTGCACACATTAAAAACTAGATTTTTAGCTTTGTTTGGAATCAAACTTTTTGGAGAAGCACATTATCAATGAAATGAAAAGCAAACTTTCTTTAGTGTCTATTTATGCCTATGTCTAGTATGAAGATGTCATGATAAAAGAATTAACAACTTAGTTATGTATATTGGACACATATAGAACAATATACACCTGCAGTAACCCTGACCATGCATCAGGGATTAGTGTTCTTTTCAGCTGGGTAGTTTGAAAAAGAAACAAAACGAAATCGAGTATAATCCTTTTCTATGTTTATAATAATTTTACCTTAGGTCCTTTTTTAGTTAGTACCTACAATAGGCTATTCATCAGAAAATAATACTTTTACACTTCTCTGATCTCTGATATGCTTGTTGACAGTATTAGTATCGATAGCAATAAAAAATGCAAAGGAATACAATAAGAAAAACCAACAATAAACTGAGCATTTCAGAAAACGACTACACCCTTTTACTTATGAGACTTGTGAGATTTCATTGACAGGGTGTTATTTAAATGATTTTTATATATAAAAGGCATTTAAAACATCTTTTAATAATTGATAAAACCTGTTTATATCAGAGAATCTACTGGTTTATATGGGAATTGTTAACAACAGTAGTGAAAAAGTTACACTCTCTTAACAAACACGCCTGTTAATTAATTTAAACTAGTACTACCTGGTTATTTCAGGAAGGCGTACAATGTGTCCTGCTTTAACAGATTTATTAAAGCTTTCTGCACCTTTTGTTTCCATGGCAACAACTGGAACATCTTGCCAGCCTACTTTGGCTAAGCCAGTAAGAATTCCACAAAGCAAGCCACCACCACCAACACTGCAAACTATCGCACTTGGGCAAACTGTCAATTGGCTGTGCAACTCCTCTATCATTGTGGAGTGGCCATCCCTAAGTATAAGTAAGATTTTTTTTAATTATTCACTTTGTTATCATACTCCTGTAATATGGAATTGTGCTAAATATTTGTCTGTTATTTGTGGGTAAAATTATTTTATAACTTACTGAATTTGAATACTCATTTTTCTTAAGTTGTTTATGGTACCTTTGATTCTTTCTATAATATCAGATTTTATCTAAGAGTTTTTTATATGAATTTAAGACAACTATTTCTCATCTTAGTAAACTATAAATAACAAATGGCTGTTGGTCAAGCATCAGGTTGAGAAATACTTCAAGACTGAAGTTCACTCAACAGGCATTGTCCTGACCGTGTTCAATGTCTGAGGTTGGACTAAAGCCATAGTGTCACTAAATAAAATATAATAACACATGACGGAAGAAAGCATTGTTGTATTCAATTTTTTTAGGAGTTATGTGTGCGTTTAAGAGCATTAGTTTCTTAATGATATGAATTCAACTCTTAAAAGAACACTTTCTTTAATTAATGAAGTTCAACAATTTTTTTTTTAACTGTGCATTCCAACATAAGTTTTTTTCATGATTCAAATGAATACAACTAATTATGATCAGATAGTGTCAGTTTTATGTGGCCATATTCTTTTACGTGAGGTGTCTTTAACTTGTTGGTGATAAATTCCAACAATAAAAGAACAGCACATAATCCACTTGTTGTAAAATAATATATATTGAAAACAAGTCAAACATATGTACAAAAATTCTTTACGCTATAGAACACCACAGTTGTATCTATAACTTTAAATAATTATTTTCTTATCAAAAGTCCATACACACTAGTTCAGTTACTATACAACCCAACTGACAAGCAGAATTATATTTCTCTACTCTATTTCTTACAACACAATCTGTGATAAATTCACTTACACTACCCCATTGGTAGATACGAGTTGTATCTATAACTTTAAATAATTGTTTCGTTTTCGTCAAAGTCCACTTTAAAACATCGTCCATTATGGCTAAATTAACAATTACACTGTCTAACTTCACTTTCACTAACTTAACTTCTACTTAATTAACTTGCACTCACTTAATTGCCTATATATTGTTACATATCTGCTTGTTTGTTTCCGGTAGAAATTCTTCCAGAGGAACTTCAGCGATACAAGTTTTTTCTTGGTTAAACCAGTTTATTCGTTCTCGATACAAACTTTTAGTACACAGTAATTCCACAGTCAGTACGTTTCTCGTCAATTTCAACTTAACAACTTTTATAATACACACTATAAATCACAGATATTCACAACCTCAATAAATTCGCTCTGTACGAGAGCAAAACACACACTTACGGCTCACTAGCTCGAAACTAACAGAATTATAAATTTTGCAGAAATCACCATAACTACTGTTCGCTTCCCTCGCCAGGTTTATATACTAACAAAGAGGCTTTGCCAAAATTCGCGGGGTTCCCCGATAATACGAGAAATTCAGTCATGCATGCGCCAGCATCATTACAAGACTTCTGCTGTCCTAACACTGCC